ATTTATAATTGAAATATTGTGCAGGTTCTTGAATGAAATTTTAATTAAAATTTTCATTAATTTTACTATAAATTATAGACACAATCAATTGCTTATAATGTTAATGGATTGTGTCTATAATTTATAATGATGATGTTTAAACTATACCGTCAAAAGTAAATCTAAGCTGAGCTCAATAATTGAATTTAAGTGTTAAACATGGCTATGTTGTATGTCACTTAAATAATACCAATAAGTATAGTTTAATTTTTCGATTCTTACCAAATCTTTAAACAAAAATTACAAATTCACTTTCATTTCATAAAGTCTTTCCAAATTTCTATTAGAAATTTAAATTTGGAAAATTTTTAAGAAAAATTGAAATGTCTTTCATAATAGAAATTTTGTCATTAGCTAAGTCAAAATAAAATATTTATATAAATAAATAAATGTACAAGAGATTTTTTCTAAACGCAATATAGCAAAACAATAGCTACAAAACGCAATACTACAAAGGCATAATGTGCTGAACAGACTATATTTTTGTCATACAAACTGCTTGACACGAATTTCGCTATACATATACTGAAAATTTTAGCAATGTTTATGAACAAACTATATTAGCAACATTTTGTTTATGAACACAAGTATAGCGCAGTTTTTGCTATCGTGATATACTTTGCGTTTATGAAAAGGTCTATATAATCTCAACTATTTTATATGATTAAATAATTATAGCTTAAGGAATTTAAAAAAATTAAATACCTAATATTGATAAAATCTGATAAGTGACATTTTTCGTAATTTTAATGCGTTAATCATAAATTTTCAATTTAAAACTAAAAAATTTCTAAAATGCCTAAATTATTTTTTTTTGTAAATCGTTATGCGCGTATCATTTTATTTAGAGAAATTCCAACTTATTTAATTGCTTACTGTTTACTTTCATTTAATTTTATAAACATTAGTTATACTAAAATTTATTTATTTACTTATATAGTAATTATTTTAACACACACACAACATTCCTATATAATGTTGAAACTATTAAAATGCCAAAAATGAAAAACTTTTCCAATTGATTCTATCAAATTTAAATCTTTAACAAATGAATTTTTTTTTTTTAAATTAAAATCAGATCTCAATTAAAATTCATTTATAAAAAAAAAATCTTTATTTAATTGATTAAATTAAATTGACTTGATAAAGGAAGCTCTTAACATGACGTCTCTGACCAAAGACAAAAGAACAAACAAAATTCGAAAAAGCTTTTGATTAAAAATTTTTTTTTTTCATAAAAAAAATTGGTTGAATGTTTTTCTATAATGGCCATACTCGGCCATACATACATACATGTATATATATATATATATATATATATATATATTAATAATAACATAATTTTTTATAAACTTTTAACTTTTTTGTGCTATTTTATACATATTAACGTATATATATATATATATCCGAGTATATATATATATATATATATATATATATATATATATATCCGAGTATATATATATATATATATATATATATATATATATATATATATATATATATATATATATATATATATATATTTTCATTGAAAATTTCATAAGCTCAATGCGTTACGATTTATTATTTAAAGTTTTATTATTGATATTTTCATTCAATTATTGGGACACACTGATAATCAGTCTAGATAATTTATAAGGCAGTTTTTCGTTACACGCACGTTTAATTTTAACTCTTTACTCATCACAAGTGTTCCAATTAAATTTTTTTTTTTGTGATAGTTTATTAACCCTAATTTAATTTTATCAATTTACCGATTTAAATTATTTCTGTGACAATATTGTAAAAGGACCCGAATCAATATACAATATTTAAGCTCTCCATAAGTAAGTTTATAATTAGACACATGTTTAGCGGGACGTCGAAAAACTTAACCACTTTTTTTCGTTTGACTATTGAATGGGAAATGTCAGCAACTCTTTCAATATCGTATTATTATAATCATATTTTTCAAACAAAGTAAAAAATATGAACAAAGGGTCGGAAAGAGTTAATGTTAGTGTAATGTAAATAATGGTGTCATTTTATTCACTAAATTCGTAATAATTATCAGTTTTAAAAATAACTAAATTTAATTTTCGAATTATCAAAACGTTTATTATTCTTTTATGTAATCCTGAACAACAATAGTGATCTCAATAAAATATTGTCATGATGTAATCTTTGAAGAGAAATAATAAAAATATGAAAAAAATAAAAATAATTTTTTCAGATCAAATTAAGAGTCAAGCCTTTTAATTCAATCTTTTTTTTTTGTTTTACTCTTCTGAAATTTCGTTTACAATAAAATAAAATATAATGACCTAAGGCAGTCACGTGAATTTTTTTCTCTCTTAAATTTAATAATTTTGTAAAGTGAATAAAAAAAAAGCACTCGACTCATACATAAAATTTGTGTTCTTTTTGTCTGTGTTGTAAAAGTAAGTTTTGTATTTCTTGAATTTTTTTTTATAAAATAATTTTTAAATATAAAAAATATTTTTTTTTTTTACTAAAATTATGATCTGAACTGATCACAATTTGCACACTGCTAAAATTGAACTGAGTCATAAAAATGTCAAAAGTGTCAAATAGTCTTATGACATAAGAATTATAAAAAAAAATTTTATTTTTTTTTATTTACGTGCAAAACGGCATTGCTTTTTTGATATTTCTTTGTTCATTGCAAATTGTTTGTATGCAACTATTATAATTGAATGAAAATATTACGCTTAGAGCAATTTTTTTTATTTATACAGAAATTTTTTTTTGTTTATACATGTGTATTTATTGATTAATTCAATAAAAAATTAATTCTAATAATATAAAATATTTATTTAGTAAGAAACAGCATAAAGTTACTGGTTTTTCGTTTTCTAATTGTCTAAAATGTTTCATAACGCACACGGTAATTAATTATAAAATGTTGTGATAGAATTGGCAAAGATTTTAAATTATAATTTCTTGCTGTGAATATTTCATATTAAATTATTTGTAATCGAATTAATTGATTGATTTTTTTTTTTCATATTGTGGAATGAAGTTAGAAATTTCAAAACATTTAATATTGTGTTTAAACTTTTATATATTTAAAAGTTAACCTGTTTTATTAATTGTCATAAAATTTTAAAACTAAAAACTTATGTCATTTGTGAAAGGTTTATGAATTGATCTTATATAAATCTAGTATATTATGTTGATAATATATTTTTTTTCGGAATTTTTTTAATGATGTTGAAATGTCATGTTTTCTGTTAAAATTGCAATTTTGATGATATCACAATGATTATTGACATATGCATCGCTCTTAATTTTAGATATTGTCCAAACTTTAAATATTTTATTACAAACAATTCTAACCCAAAAATATTGGGTCCGAAAATTAAATTGTTATTAAATATAATAGTTTTTACAAAAGTAATATACACCAAAATAAAAAAAGAAATGGCAACTCTAATTTCTTATAGTGCTACCGTTATTTTCTTATACAAAATTTTCTATTGAATGCTATTATTCATCGATCATCAAACATAATCCGCTTAATTTGATGCCATTTCATATGTAAACAAAATGAAATTTGATTTTTTCCTTTACATTTATTTTATTTCAATTCATTATAAAAAAAAAAATATTTTTTTTTTTTGAATATAAATTTCAAAATAATTTTTTTTTTTTTTAGGTTATAAATTATAATTCAAAATTTGACATTAAATGATTATTAACTGAAATAGTTTGTTTAGCAAAAATTGCTGCTGTTTGGTCTCATTAAAAAAGTATCAGTTTTGAAGAACAACTCCAATATTAAAATATAAAATTAATGAATTTTATGATTAAAAATTATAAAAATTTTCATTTAATAACCATTAAAAGTTACAATAATAAAATTTGTTAATGAAATAATTTTCTGTGTTAAATATGCCATTTATAGTTCTAAATTAAGTGATATTAAATTTGGATTTATATATTTTGATTGACTAATTCATTTAACCTTGATTCTTTATTATATTAAGATATATTTTTTGTGTGTTAAGGTTTAAGCTCAATATTGAAATGCAATATTGAAGTGTTTAGTATTGCTGTTATAAAATGATAATCCAAATGTTTCAGTATCTTTTGTAATAACTAGTTGTGATTTCAATAGAAAATTCGTATTAATTAAATTTTTAAATATTGCAATCGTAACTGCAATAATTTATCAAAATGAGAATATTTTTAGTAATTGTCGAAAAAATGAATAATAATGATTAATGATCAAGGTTATAAACCACAATGTTTGAATATGTATATCATTTCATATTTAAAGCTCAAATATTTGTATCCAAGTCACAAACCAGTAAGATTTTTGAAGAACAAGTTGTAATTTTAGATATTATTGTATAAACGTTTCGTATTCTTAACAGTACTTATTTTAAATAGTTCTGATGAAATTAGAATACCTGTTAAAATTTTAAAATATTCTAACTTAAAAATGAGATAAATTGCAAGTCATTATGTCGATAATATTGTTATCAAACTCCGCACGACAACAATATTACCTTTTTAATCATATCATAACCACATACATGTTCTAGAACAAAAAAAAAAAACAACTTTTCATTTTAAATGAAATTTTTAAAATTTTTTATTTCAGAATTTTAAAGCAAAAACAAAAACAATATTAAAACTTTTATTTAAATAAATGAAATTGTTAGCAAAAAATTCATGAAAATTCATTTTTATTTTTTAAAAATGAAACGTAAAAAACTCTTTAAAAATTCAACAACACAACAACAAGAAAAATAATAATCAAAAATTGGAAAAAAAATAAGTGTTAAATAACAACAAAAAGAAACTCTCAGTTCTCTCAGAAATATTTTTTATTATACAAAAATTATAATAATAAATTACAGTAAAAATTAATAATAATTTATTTAGCCATATTATATCAAATACATACACGTACATATATAATTTAATTCATAATATACCTTACATTATAAGAAAAATCAAATTATAAATAAAAAATAATAAAATAATATTATTCTAAGACATAAACTTAAAAAAATTAAAAATAAAAATATATAAAAATGGAATCCTGTTTTCCGCCATTAGCGGCATTGTCTCTAAGAGGCAGCAGTCATAATAATTCTAAGTCACAAAAAAATAATCGTCATAGTACTGGCGGTAGTACCCCATCGACAGCATCCAGCTGTAATAATCTTAATAATCATAATAATAGTAATAATAATAATAACAATAATAATAATAATATAAATAATAATAGTAACAGTAATGGACACAATAATCATTGTAACAGTATGAGCAATAATAATGATTATTGTATCAGTAATAGTAAAAAATTAAACCAAAATAATTCTAGTACTGATTTTACACCAAAACTTGAAGTATTACAAGATTTGGATTTATATTATATTAGGCAAATTGCATCAAGTTTAAAGGTAAGTTTTACATTGATTTTGTTTTTTTTTTTCTTGTTTTCTTATTTTGTTAAAAATTAAGTATTAAATAAATTTTTAAAATAACTTAAGGCAACGAAAACTTAACCAAAAGAAGATTTAGCTATAAAGTATTTTTTCAAAAAAAAATTTTCATAATTTGCAATTTAAAAAGCAATTTTAAAAATTATTTTAATGTAATAAGAAAATTATTCGATTAGAAATCTAGGTTAAGAATCAATAAATTTTTTTTTCTAAATGGATTTACGAGTATATATACGTTATATAGAACATAAGACTGAGATAATTTAATTGAATAATAATAATAATATATATATATATATATAAAATAATAATGTAGAAGATTTAATGTTCATAATACAATTTTTCCATTTTCATAATTAAAGTGCAACTAATTGCAAAAATAAATTTTTTCTAATACGAGTACTCTCCTATAAGATATAAAACCAATTAGTGCTGCTTATTCCGAATATCAAATCACTATTACGTAAAAGTCTACATAATTTTATTTTAGACAAGAACCATTTGCATGCATAAGTTTTATGTTTACAATATAAATATCGAAATTAGTACGGTAAATATCGAACTTTTTACAATAAACTATCATTTATCGATTCGATATACAGAATGAGCCCAAATATTTTTGTTATTTCCATCACTGTATTTACTGTTATAGTTAATACATATTTGGAATTTATAATAATTATAAAAAATCTCACACGTAGGGCATAAGCACCACCTTTAACAATTAGTTCTCTTACTGCCAGAATATAATTTGTACTATTAAATTACTCTATTTGTGGCATTATAATTTGAAATGACATTAAGCAAATTGTAAATATTAAATATCTGTCAAATATTACTTTCTTCATCTGTCAAACTAGTGTCATCATTTATTATTTCATATATGGTATCTGCTTGCAACTTGTCATTTGACAATGCATAGTTTACAATAAATAATTGGACAATTGTAAAAACTGACAATGCATATAGTTCTAATGGCATGCCATTACTTTCTCATTTTACCGTCTGCTACAACAAATCGTATCAATTGATATAACGTCAGTCAATATAATAGCACTCTGCAAAATTCAAATTATATCTGCACTATAACCTTCTCCAAATTTTTTAGTTTTCATTGTTTTTATGAAATAAATTAGTTTTTAGAAATTAGTGTTCTTCCCAATTTCTTAATTGAATCTCACAATTGATGGAAATTTTTTATTTTTAAAATCGCTCATTCAACGATAAGCAGGTAAAACAAATTTAGTTATACAATATAACAATTTAGTCAAGAAATTTATGAGATTATGAGAAGAGATGAGATTCGTGTTTGAAGATGAAAATAGATTTAAAAAAAAATTAAAAAACAAAAAAACTTAAAACAAAACTTCTTGTCCAAAAATTGCTCTTTATAGACTTTAAAACAATAGCCAAACAATACAAAAAAAAACTAGAATAAAAAAAAAATTCGAACACAAAAACAAAATGAAATCACGAAAATGGGTCGCGTTTGATTCATTTAAGAACTCTTTAACTTCAATAACATTCTTAAGTTCTAGAATCTTCACATATATCTACGACTTATTTACAAAGTCTATTACCTTGTATGTGTATATGAACTTGTAATGTTAATTCAACTTTGTAATGGCAGACAATTCTATGGAAACCAGAAGAATAAAAAAAAACAGTAATAAATGTGGGTTGAAAAAAACTTCTTTTAAAATGAAAAAATTATTGTTTTTTTCTTTCTATGTATTCTTATAAACTAATGGACAATCGCATATGCATGTGTACATTAAAATTTAAAATTTCTAATAAGAAGTTTTGAAAAATAAAAAAAAAAACAAGTTTACAGATTTTTTACAGAACCTTAATAATATCTTCCTATTGAGGAAATAATCCCATATAGCATAACGAATGTGTAAAGTTCTCTTTTTGAATGAAAAAAAAATCTCCAGGGAATAAAAATGATAACTGATGGTTTCAAAAAAAAAAAAATCTCTTATTTAATTTCTTTTAACTAATATTGATAAGATCACGATATTAAGCCTGTAGTTCATAATTTATTAATATTATAATGTTGTTTACTTGCATATAATATGTGAGTTTGTATATGTGGTTAACAAAAATGATGGTGTTTAGAAGAAGAATCAGCCCACGATCTATATTTTCTTGTTCCCGTTTAACCGTCGTATCAGAATGATACGATCTTCCTATCAAGTAGTTATCAAGGATTATTTAGTGTTTGGTTTTTTTTTTCTTAGAAAATATGAAAAAATTTTAATAATTACGGGATCGTGATAGAAATTTTTTAGTTTTTTTTTTTTTCATATTAATAAATGGTAATAATGACGTTACAGAATTTTATTTTAATAATTTTACAATTTCTCGTTTTATCAACAGCTTTTACGGTAATTTAAATTATCATTTTTCTGGCACGTTGTGATACTAATGGATCCACAAAATCTCATGTTCTTACATGAACCACTCGGAAATTTTCAGACACCGGGCAAGGTTTTTGGCATTTACATTTCTACCAGGGCCGTAGTCTGTAAAAAAATTATTAACAGTATTTTCGCCTGTTTTTTGCCAATCCGTCACAGAAACTCCTGCAAAGATCATTCGCAGGGCGAATCATCCTCCTGGCACGTTCGCCATTAAGATAACGTCCCGTTAAGACTTCTCTCCGGAGAATAGATATCATATCCTTAGTGCGATGGAGATCCAGTCACAGTTTGTCGCGTTGCATGTAGTTCTAACTAACCCTAGGCTCTGTGCAAACAATAATTTTTTTGACACAGTTTTTGTCTGCTATTTCAATACTTAATTGCTTAAAATTTCCCATAACATAATGTGATATAAATACCACAGGAAAAGGAAAACCGTTATACTTAATTATAATTTCTCTGTAAAGCAATACAACATTAAAATAATTTATAACATTTTCTGAATGTAAGAACTCCAGACTAATTATATCACGGAATCACAATGATTAATAAGAAATTAAGGTCAAAATCACACAGACCACCTAATACATTCGGATAAATTTAATTTGCTTTCTTCTAAATTGAACTTTAATTTAAAGAAAATTATCCTTAAGGTATCCCAAATTCTAGTATTCAAAAAATTATTTTCATATTTATGTAACTTAGTCTCTAAATGCATAAATTTCATAATAATTATATTTTTACCGAATCATGACATTTAAGATATTTCTCCTTTAATTAATTATCCTTTTATTTTGTACATTAAAACACATTTAAAAGTTATGATTATCAAAAATTTCCTCAAATAATCTTCATTATTATTGAAAATAAATTTCTCCAAAAAAAATTTTTTTGTTATATATTCTTTACTTAAAATTTACATTTACCATCATCGTTCCTCTAAAATCTAAATGATTCCATTAATTTAAAATTAATTTCCGAAAAATATGCTATCCTTTTGCCCTCACATAAAAAATGGAACTTTAAATCAGCAAAGATAAATATTTATTCATTAATATGCAATGGAAAGCAATTAAGAACAAAAAGTATGCTAGAGAGAGAGAGAGTTTGTGTGCCTTGTACAGAATTTTTAGAAAGCTTGAAAATTATTTGTTTATTTATTTTATTTTATTTTTTTTGCATTTGTATACAAATTCATGTACGAACACACATAAATACATTTTAAATAATTATTTATTCAATCAATAATGTGGCATTATCTCGGATTTTTTATTTATTTTATGCAAAAAATGCGAAAGCATACATAATTATTTTTTTTTCTTACATAATCTTTTGTCTCGACGGGGCGAGATTCAAATGTAATTAAGAACAACAGTATTGAAAAAAAAAATAAATAAATAATATGAAAATCCATGCAGTGTTCTTGAAAACTCATCAATCATTTACCACTTTTACATTAAATTCAATTTATACAAAAAAAAAACGACAGAAAACCTAAATTTCTTTTTAAAAAGCTCCAAAAAAAAAAGTCAAGAAAAAATTTTCAAGAAGATAGAAATAAAATTGCAATTAAATGTCGTGTTTATAAAAATGTAGTTAATTTACTATAAATTGAAATTGTTATGTCTTACGACAAGAAGAGGGTTCAACAATAAAAAAGGGGGTTAAGTAGTAAGTGATAATTTTGTCAAAAATTCGAGTTTTGGCATTAGAACATTCAATTCGTCCTAACAAAATTCCCTTTTCAGATATTTGACTTTTACGCGATCAAAACTCAGAAATATCAAATTTATGTCAAAATCACATAATAAACCAGCATATATTTAACATATTTAACATATATTTAAGACATGCTTTCCTGAAAAAAAAATTCGAACACATTGCCTAGTTTCTTTATGTATTTGCAAATAAAATTTATTTCATTTGATCACATAATATATTCGGTACATATTGTGTCCTCTATGATACCATTAATATTTTCATTTGAATCAAATCGAATTTTGCACAAAAAAAAAATTAATACAAGTTCAACAACAATTTTAATGTTCAACTCTTCTCTCGTTCATTTTTCCTCTCTTTTCGTTTTCATGGACATTGGCATCGGCATACGAAATTTTAATGAAGTTTCGACATAAGATAAAAGAATTTTTATTCAACATTAATGATAAGGTTCCAAAATTTTGTCAATTGGTCCGAAATCAGAAGGATTTTTGTCATTTTTATTATATGCAATTTATTGAACATTTTGCATTTCAAATAATAGCACTCCTTTTAATTTTATTATTTTTTCATAACAGTATAAATTATTATCAGTACAATTATGTAGCATTTACATATGTATATGTGTGCATATGTGAAATATGCATAACTATCAAATTTTGAATTTTATTAAAAATGATTAATTATAATGTTATTCTCCATCGACACCATTCTTACAATCACACATACTGTTGCATCCACCATATCAATATCCAATATACAAAATTATTCTTCTCATATTACTTCCAATGATGATCCGAGATTTACGTACAT